AGTAATTTCAAGAACCTTAATAAAGTACTAGTGTGACTGCTTAAGTTAAAAAAAAAAAAAAAAAAAAAAAAAAAATTTGTCTTCTCATTTTAGTCTGTTATGAAACTGTCTACTGCCTTGGTATTTGTAGAGTGCAAATGTTGTTGAACTTTTTTAGATGTGTAGTTTGCTCATTGGTTATTCTGTTGATTGTATGAGATCTTCAGATTCTGTTGAGATAAAGAAATATTTCTCTGTAGATCCTCCAATCTGTATTGTCAAAAAACCTGGTAAGTTCATCTGTTGGGTTTAACTAACTTGGCATCTAATAAAATTTGTATACCCAAATATCATTTTTATTATCTAAATTCTATATATTTCTTATATAATGCTTTTGTCATAGAACTTTTTTTCCTTGTTCTATTATTTTTTTTGTTATTCTGTTGTTAATAAAAATTGGTATTCAATAATGACTCAGCTTTTTTTTGAATAAACTTATTTTTAGACAAGTTGCTTCTAACTTGAGTTTTGTAATTTCTGTATATAAGTATTTTATTCTCTAGTTCTAAATGCTTTTTTGTCAAACAGAGTTACTAACCAACCTGTTGTTAATGCTTTACAAATAATAGTAGGATTCTCAATGAGTTCCAAACAGATTACTCATTCTCTTTTTCCAAATTCTCTAGCACCCACTTGAAATCTTGTTTTGTTTATAAAGAGAGGATTACTTCATTGTTCCAAGCATTTATTCACTAATTCATTGCATCTATAATTGTAAAAAATTCTAAATATTATACTTTTACTAATACAAAAGCCTAGCTTAAACTAATTAGAAAGTCTAATACTAAAGCTAGTATTTGTGCTATTAATTTTAAAGCTGTTAACAAGGTTTTTAGTAACTTTTTTACTTTTTGCAATTTGTCTTTTGGAATAACTGCTTCTTCTTTTATTATATTTAGTATTAGACTATAAAATTTTGGTTTTGTGTTGACTTCCAATAGCCTTTCGAGTCATGCCTTACTAATCTATCCATCTTCATATCTACTGATATAATTTTCTCTTTTTGGTATAGTAATGTTTTTCTTGATGGATGAGCTATCCAGAAGTCATCTATATGATTTCTATAGTAAATTGCAAGAGAGTGCCAATAACTTATAAGTACTTACATTATCTTTGAAAATATATATACTGTTTGATTTAAACTAAAAGATAAAATATGATAATAATACCAGTTTCTGTTGAAGTAAAATCCTAATAGTTTTTGTATATTTTCTCTATTAGCAAATAATGATAATTATTCTTTAGATTCATTATTATTACTCATCAGTTTCTGCTAACTGTTTTTATAAAAGTTTCCAACTCTTTGAATTTGAAAGGCTGATATGGTAGTGTTTTGTTTAGTCTTTTGAGATCAATAATTATTCACTATTTTTGGGTCCTGATTTTGATCTTAATAAGATTGAATTTACTTTTATAAATGTTGGTAGCTTCATTAGTTCTGTTTCTAATTATTTATTGTTCTGTTTTCTAATATTACTTCTAGTTCTTCTTTTAACTAATCTGTTTGTTTTATACTTATATTGTACTATTTTTGTACTAATTGTACTGCTAAAGAGAATAAACCTTTAGGAAATAAAGAGATGCTATTTTTTAGCTAATTTATTATTAATAATAAGGTTTTTATTTTTGTCTTCCAATATATAACTGATGAGAGAAGGTTAAGTCATTTTGTTAATATCTTTTTTAATACTTAAATGTTGTTAACTATTTCTAGTATCATCTCTTTCAGAGAGTATTGTAGTTAAGTTGATATCAGGTCTGTAATATCTTAACAAGAGACATTTGACTACAAAGTATCCAAATCTACCATAGTTATAGTATTTGAATTTTTCATTATTAACTCTTAATTTCTGTTCTTTTACATATGATCTTGGGTAGTAACTGTCTTTTGAATTATAATATCTGTTTGAGTTAGTTTTTTGATAGTTCATAGTTATCTTTTTTTCTGGAATTTGATTTACTATTGTAGTATGATGTGATATAAAAAAACTGCTTCTTTTCTGATATATCATATGGTCTAAACTTCTTCTTAGTTGTTGCTGCTTGGCATTCTTTGTCAATTATTTTTGTATAGTTAGTTAGTTTTTTTTTAGCTAATTAGAGCAATTATACTGCTACATCTCAACTATATTTTTTTGCTATCTTTAGTATTATTATTCTGTCTTTAACTTTTTTCTTACTATTTCAATATAAATTATAGCTTTATTTGTTAAAATAAAATTTATACCCAAGTCAAGGTCTCTATCTATAGATCAGAGTAGGTTATATTCATATTAGTCACTAGATCTTTCAAACCACTCTTCTAGCCATTTTTCCTCAATTCTGGCTTTTATTTGAGTTGTCTCTACTTTTATATTTATACTAATTATATCTTTTCTTAATTTCTTTATTTTTATTATCAAGTTTTTAATATCTAAGAGTTCTACTTGTGTATGGTAAGCTTTCTTATGCTCTACAATCTCTGTATCACTTGATAAAAGTAAGATTCTTGTTGAATTCAAATTCATAAGTTTCTTCTTTTTTTTTCCTCTAGGTTATATTCCTATTTCTTCTTTTATTATATTACTAAGGTTTTGGTCATTATCTAGAAACATATTTATTGATATATTATTCAACTATGATTCATCTATTTGTATTTGAACTTGCATTATTAATTCACCTTCCTGTATATTTCTTTTTCTTAGTTAATAAATAGTTATTTTTCAATAAAATTTGTTTTACTATTTGTTATATCTAGTTATAACTTCCTAGCAACTAATCTCAAAGTTTTAAGTATCATCTGAGAGTATTTTGCTTTATTTTTTTTGAAATCTAGATTTTTATTTGTTATAGATAGTTTCTTGCACAATCTGTTTTTCAAGTTTATTATTTCATATCTTATTTGTGATTATGAAAAGTTATAGTTACTAATTTTTGATAAAGTCAGAAAGTTACATTTTCAGATAACAGTAGTGAAAAAATACAACAAATAATGACTGATACTAAGTTTTCAAATATTTACTTACAATAATTTCCTCAAACTTGTAAATTATATAATCATGATCTATTAATCTCTTATTATAATATCACTTTTATGATTAAAGTCATGATTATTTGCCAAAAGAGAGTAATGGTATACAAAGATTTTAACCTAAATTTCCCAGTACCTTTATGCTTATATAGGATTTGTAAATGAATAATTATAGTTTTTTTTTTTTTTTTTTAATATTAATGGTAAGGCCATGCCTCTATCTTTATTGAATATTTAATTGAGCTTTTACATAAAGTACAATTCTATTTTTAAAATATTATAGAAAGAATAGAAGCTCAGACTAGTGTTTAATATCTAATGTTCTTAATGTTCTTAAGAACCTTTAAAAAAATTTAAGAACATTGCATCTAAAATTTATG